TATATGCATATATATATAGTCTATATATACTCAGCCTGGTACATATATATTCAATCTGATATATGTATACATGTAAATCATGCTGATTACCATGTACAGGACTGGTGCCCATGGGAACCGGAAGAGGCCACTGGATTCCCTGAAACTGGGGGTTATAAATGGTTGTGAGTTGTACAAGTAGATCAGACTGAATATATGTATATATCACTAATAAAATTATTTAAAATTTTATGATATTTATATCCATATATTATAGAAGAGAATGGTCATTGGCAGAATCTGTAAAATAAGAGAGTTCTGGTCTATTGCTGATCAGGTAGACATTAGTAACATCAAGTGGCCGTGCAAAAAAAAAAAAAAAAGCAGTGCCTAAAGAGTAAGTTTTAGTCAACCTGGATTCAGAACTCAGCTCTACTACTTATTTCTCCTTTTATTTTCTAGAAATTTCTCACTTTTGCCCTCTCAGTGTAAGTGTGTCATGGAGACAACAGCATGTGCTTGTCATCACTGTTTCTAGTACCTAATACACCTCCACTCTCTGTGACTATTATGTTAGTATGAAGGTCTGTTTCATGCTCTAAGAGTTTGGACTGGGTCTGTAAGGTACATGCAGATTGAGGACTAACGGGGGAGAAAGAAAAAATAGTGGCCTCAAAATGTTAAGAAGATATTGTGAAGTTTAACCTGCAATCCCCAGATGATGGAATATCTAAAGTAGAACACTTTCTGTATTTAAAATGGTGACTGTGATTTGCTCCAAGGAAGAGGAGGAAGAGAGTCTGTGTGACTGTGTCTGTGTGGTGAAAGTAAAGAAATCTCCCCAGCTTAACATGATCTAGGAGTGGGTTCCAAAGACAAAGACTTATTTTTTTTCCATTAAAGATCCAAAAATCTAGAGGTATAACTCAATCTAGAGGTAAGGTTTTTTTTTTCTTTGAAATTTCATATACATCTTAAAATGTTTATATATATATATTATTCTAATTTATAAGCATATCTATTTTATTTTAATGTGTAATTTATGCTATACAGAATCAAGCAGAATTGTGTAGATGCTCAAGATTTATCATGCGCTTGTGATTCCATATACCTCCATATACCAGTGATCTGGCAAGTGTTTCTAACAGCACTAGGTCCGAATTGAAGATACACAGGTTTAGCAGGGCATGTAACTGGTCAATTCAACACATTAAGATTTCTCTCCATGTGTGTCAGCACAGGCAGGCTAGGAATTAGGATTTCTTGTCTTCAGAGTTTGTGTTCAAGTCAGGTAATGACACTGCTCCTAGCGTTAAAGTGCTTTTAGTTTTTGGCAAGAGCATTGCACAAGCATAGGTATGGACCTAAGTTTCTGTGGCAATTAATAAACTCATGGGCATAAGGCTTATGCAGACCTCTAGTTCAGGGTAATGGAGAAGAATAATGGCTGTGTGATATTGTGATTGAGGCCTGGATTCATGGGCTTTTGTGAATTATTTTCTCATGATCCTATTTAATTTTTCAACTAGTATTTTGAAACAGGTAGATGTTAAGTAAATGCTGACTTGGGACTTTTTTTAAGGAGGTTTTATAGTTAGAACAACTTAGGTTCAATCCAGAGCACAACCACGTAAACCAGACATGGTGACACAAGCCAGTGACCAGAAACTCAAGTTCATTCTCGGCCATGTAATAAATCTGAAGCCAGCCTGGGCTATATAAGACCCCATCTCAAAACCAAAACAAGCAAAACCCAATTGCTAGTTAGTATGAAAAGTTATTCTTTTGAGATGGGATCTAGATCAATATTAGTGATTGGTTCCTGAATGTGTAGCTCCTTTGGGTGTTGGGATTCAGTGGTAGAACACTTGTCTAATTTTCCAAAGAATTGGGTTAGTACCACAAGGAAAAGAAAAAGAAAAAGAAAAGAAAACCAGATTGTAAAGACTATGTCACTCAAGAGATAGCTGATGAGTTGGTTTAAAGGCATTCATTATAGTTTAAAGAGGAGTCAGGAGATGAAGGTTTGTTTTAGTTTTTGGCAAATTACATTGTGTGTTGGTGGCCACGTGGGAGACAGAAAAAGCCAAAGACAGTAAAAGGTGCCCAGTCTTTATATATTTCACACTTTTCCGCAGAAATACTGTTTTCTTATCAACAATACATTACACCATGGTCACCTCCTTAATTCTAAGGCCTAGGTCAGGCCTCAAGGAGATCAAGTTGGGCATGGTCTGAGCTGTTGCAGAGCAAAGGATTACTGGGAAGGTAAACAACGTCAAAACAATGTGACTAAAGTCACCATAGCAACTGTGATCAAGTATGGACATGACCAGCTGTCTTTATCAGTTATGTTGAAATCAGGGCCAGTTAATCTGAGGAGGTTGACCCTATTGCCAGATCTTAAAAGATAACCAGTGTTTTTTCATGTAAGGAGGAGTGTGTTCTGGGAAAATGAAAGAGATATGACGCACAAGGTGTGTTGGAGGAACTGTGATTCATTCAGCATAATGGAGGTGTGCTGTATGGGACAGTGGCAGACGGGGCTAGAAGTGGAACAGGAAATAGAATTAGAAATGCCTCGTGTGTAATGCTATATATGCTTGGCCTAGATTGAAGGCTTTGAATTAGAGGAGTAATGGAATTCCATTTCTACTGTGGTGACATGGCTAAGGGCTCCTGTCCCTCTCCATGCATTCCTCCTTCTCTACTGAAGAGTCTCAGGACATCGAGGGGAATGAGGACAGGGCAGAACTCATGACCTTCAAGGTGTAGGTCAGCTATGGAAAAGTATGACTCATTTGTGTTTGTTGCATTGTAGTGTGTGAAACTAAGGTAACTCTGAGACAGAACGTCTGAATGTGAGTTTAACTACACGTAGAGAAGTGAAAGTTTTGCATAGAAGTTTCTATGCTGAAATAAGAGTTGTGTACTCAAATATGATGTAAAATTAAAATTTCTGTCCTTGATCTCTCTTGCTTTTTTTCTTCCTTTTATTTTCTCCCCTTTCCTTTCTTCTTTCTTCCTGAGAATCTTACTATGTAGCCACAGCTGGTCTCCCACAATATGTCTTCCTCAGCCTCCCAAATATTGGAATCACAACAAGTTTCAGATAAGTTAGGCATAGTTTTCCATGGACATTGTGATTTAATTGTCTACTGACTTTTCTGTGAACAGAAAGTAGGTAAATGGTTAAGTTCTTTTAAACAGTGAAAACTTTAGGAGGCATACTTTAAATGTGACTTAATACATATTGGCTCATTTATTATTTATTTCAGTACTTAGACTTTTTGTTCTACATTTTGCTTCAGTTGCTTTAGTTTTTCTGACAGACCCTGTAATTCTTCAGGGATAGAGTTTAAATCAAGGATACACTCAAAAAAACCCTTCACGCTGAAAACTAACCCTGCCCTGATTTTTATTTAGCAACAGTGGAGAGCTTCCTGAGAGGCATGTGTATATTATATAACTAGTCATAGAACCATGGGCCCCTAGGATTGGTCCTGGGAACCTGGACCACTTGAGAGCCACTGAGCTGGAGTGCTCTTGCAAACAGCTGGGGCAAAAGGACTGTTGCCTAGCAGTCCCTTTGGAGCAGTCATAAAGCATTGTTGCTGAGCAACCAGGGGCCTCTTGGTGCCACATCCTCCATGGAGTTTTAAAGTAGTGGTAGGTCAACTCCCTTTGGGAGGAGCAGTATATCCTGACAGGGTCTGAACCTCCCTCATGGGCACGGGGCTGTTTGTTATCAGTAAGTGTCTGACCTTATCATCAAAGATGGTAACTTATATACTATGGGCATACATGCCTTTTACAGAATTGTAAATTGAATTGAATATAAACTCGGGGAAGGGTATGTAGCAATGGCAGCAGGAATTCATACACAAATATTTTGATTGTGGTTTTTCTGTCCTTCAGGTTTGATTGTAAGGTATGTCTCCTGGTCCAAAGGGAAGTCATTTTTCATTGTGTGACATGGAATATGTAATGTTCTTTGTTAACATTATTTAGCCAAGCAAATATTTACATCGGAGAAAGACTAGCAAGCTAATTCTAATCTAGTCAAGAGGCCCTGGGGAGTCAAGTACTTGATTCAACATCATTTTCTCACAGTATTTGGGATACTCTTTTGAGTTTTCTTTTAATATTTATATAGTATATAAATATTAAGAGTTGATAAACATGTTGAAACTCATCGATTTTTGAAGAAGATTGAGTTCTAACTTTAGAAGTCAATGTTTCTCTGCTGAGCCAATGTTTCTTCTGAAGATTCAGAACAATGTTCCACAGACCAAGACTCAGTCCTGTGGATGGTGTGCGATAATTCAAGGCTCTGTCAGACGTGGAGTCTGAACTATCCATAACAAAGAAAAAGTTTTATTGCTTTATTGACCTGAAGAGTTTGTGGAGGATGAGTCAGAAGAGGAAAGTCTTATAGGGTTGTCATAATCTCTGCAGGGAATGATGACGTGGGAAAAAAGTGTTTGAGGAGGGAGTGGCCAGACTGTATGATAAATACAGAATAAATGCAATTGAATTAGTGAACTAAAGAACATGAGACTGGAACCACAGCCACTTGGTGATTGAGTAACAAGGCAGGCAAGAGAAGAGAGAAGACAGCGCTGGTCTAAATTCATAGCATAAGACTGGGCTCTCTCCTGGTATGAAAACTCTATTAGAGTTGGACAACCCTGACGAGCAGAAGAGCATTGACAACACCAGTCCTAGGTTTAGAAGAACAGCAACCAGATGATCTCCATAAAACAAAGCATTGTTTTGTTTTGTTTTTTTCATCTGGGACAAGGACTATTTATCCTATGTCTGTTCACATAGGTAGAATGTTCAAGTGAGGTGAACATATTTACCCACGGGTCAGTTGTAGCCACACCTATCACATACATATGGACATGAAAATAATGGGGTTCTTAATGGGGTTCTTTTGTGCTTTACTAGATCTAAAATGGTGCCATTTTATGTAGAAAACCTGAAAGAATACAAACGGAAAAATTGTGCAAGTAGGTCGGCTGGCCTGTTCATTGCAAACCTCCAGCTTAACACTGGACCCCAAGGCATTATGTGTAAGCTCAGTTTTATTGGATTTTTTTCTCTAGGAATTCCAATATTGAGTGATGTGATTGAGAAAAACAATGGCCTTGCTCCTTGGCATTGGGATTCAAAGGCAACTGCTGCAGGAATATATTGTGTTTTTCAATCGCATGGTTTAGAAAGGCTGCCATTCATCTAGACAATTGATTTGACATAGAAATTGTGATGAAAATGTGTTTTTGTTTTAACTGTTTAGGAAGCTCTTACACAGTTTGAGACAAAAAAATACAAAAAACGGTTTCTTAGAAGGTATATGATTATACATATTGCTATGTATAATATATTCATATTATTTATTATTTACATATATATGAAACAGACAGCTGCTTGCTTAAGAAATTTGTCCTCCTAGTCTTAGAGAAACAGAAAAATTTCAAGGTATTTTGTCCTTTTAAATGACATTTTTGCTTAAAAAAAACTACTTGTTCATTTCAATAATGGATAAAGAACTAGAGACATTTATCTTTATAATTTTTCCTTTTTTTTTTTTTTTTTTTTTTTTTTACCTTCAGGGGTCAGGATATACTGAAAACAACTCAAGATAAATCCAGGGAGGCAGGAAACCATAAAGTCACCAAGACCACATTCAGGCAAGAAATACAAAGGTAGGTAAACTTTCTGTCCCATTGATCCTTGGCTTGAGGGCGTCACCAAACATGTCTTTAGTGCTTTAAAGCCAGAGGACACTGAAGAAAAAGGGTCGTGATGTGGCTTCAGTTTAGAAAGTTCACTCAGTATTGTCCTATCAACTATTTCTAGTGATAAATTAATAGTGAGCAACATTAGAGATATCGCTTGAATATTAGAGATATAAATTGCCATTTGGTGTCTCCTGGGAGTCTGAGGGTAGTAGAGAAAGAACATGATATTTCTATTCTTCTTAGTGGGTGCCTCTTTAAATTGACTCAGTGACAGCCAATGGCCCATTAAAATCTTTTAAAATTCTAGCCTTTAACTCTGGAGAGAATGTCAGTATATTAATTATTACTCTCCTTGGAAATAATTTTCTGAAGGACCACCATAAGCAATTCATGTCAATTGTGTTTTGTTTTGTTGAGAGAGGGTCTTGCTATATAGTCTAGGCTGATCTTGAACATTTATCCCAGGCCTTGGCCTTAGCCTCAAAATGGTAGGCTTGCATAACTATTTTCAAGAAAATATTCTTGATAGTGTTGACAGGTGGGCATATAGCTCAAAATAAAGCATTTTGAGGGATAGGAAAAACACTATTTTTAAACCATTTTGTATATGTATCTCGATATGTAGATATATACACACACATTTAAGACATGCATTTGATAGGTATGTTGACAATTTAGGCCACCTCTGTATTTCAGGCTTAATTGCATTTTATAATGGTGGAATTTGCCTTGAGGCCACTCTGACCTTTAGTTCTGTGTTCTGCCATCTGGAGGGAGAAATTAATTCTTCCATTTACAGTTTAGATGATGTAGGAGGACATGGGAAAGTCCTCAGCCTGGGCTGAAGTGTTCTCCTGTTCTCAGATCCTCGAAAGAACAGGTTCTTAAGCCCTTTGCCTGGGCTTCTGGAGACAAGTGTGCACTTTCTTTTCACCCAGTGAGATTGAGACACTGCTAATGGGTTCCAGGTCTTATTGGAACATTTTCATTGTAATTTCAATGTTTAAACTTGTCAGTGAAGAATAGTATCTTCATTGACATTTACTTTTTATAAGCAAGTGATTTCAGTAAAATAATTTTGTGAAAAGCATTTATTTCTACTGGAGCCATTCTAGTCTCTACACTGCAGAAAAATAATAAAATCATAAGTACTTGTTTTGCACTGGAGGAGAAGTAGAAATGATACATAAAGAAATTACTGGGTCAGTAGGGTGGGGTGAATGCTCAGGATTTATCAACAGAAACTAGTGAATTCTCCCCAAAAGCTCTGGGAGGAGGTGAAGAGGGTTGTTCCTTTCCAGGATGAAGGCTGGCCTGCTGGCCAATGGCACATATTTAGCCAGTGGGTGGTGAAGTTGGATATGAGTCTAATTCTGTCTTCTGTTAAACCCATGTCCTTGGCCAATGTGGACAGCAAAAGCTAGAATTCTGACTTTAATGATCATAGCATCTCACTCTCATCAGACATTTATTCTCCACTGCTGAAATATACGCTCTTAGGGGAGAATAGTATTTCTCTACTCATTGAACTCTGTGACAGAAATAACACATTTCACACATTCATTTTTATAGGAAAACACTAATTTCTCAACCCTCTCAAAAATTAATAAGAGGAGAGCAAAAAATTCAAAATATTAGGCAAAGAAATCAGAAATCAACAAAAGAAAAAAATACAGTTAGTGTATGTATAACTGGTTTTCAAAGGTGGAAATTTTGTTTGCATAATTTTATAGTTATAGATGAAAAGATAATACCTACACTTTTGATTTTCTAACAGACTCCAAATGCTTATTTTAAGAAAATAATGTGTATACCACTTAGTAAGTTTAGAGGGTAAAAGCTATTTAAACCACACACACACACACACACACAAAATATTCCCAATAAATCAGGAAAACCTCTAAGGGTTGATTGTAACACATTTGACCACCTGAACTTAGATTCACTTTATAAATTCTGATAGATAAAATAGAAAGAGAAATAATTATCATCTGTGTTAAGAACTACTTTAAATTCTTTACAATATATGTTACATTTTAAATTTTAACTTCTAGGTGGTATTAGTGGCAGTCCTTTTCGTTTTACAAACTCGGGAACTGGGCACCAGAGAAGCTAAACAGCTTGGCCTAGTTCACACAGACAATAAGTAGCAAAAGTTAATTACTACTCATGAGGTTTAACCCATGAGTCTTTAGTCTTAAATACTGTACATTGACGTTTCTTAGAGGTCGTAACTTTGAAAAGTTATAATTATTTGGGAAAAGATGTCAAAATAATGAGTATCAAAATAAAAGAACACAGTTACTTAGGAATAGAAAAGATAACTGTATAAGTCAGTTTACTTTTCCATAATAAACAGACAAGTATAGATAAAACAATAGATATAGATATAACAATCTGATTTATAACAATAATATATACCTATGTACAGCCATATAGGAAATATGTAAGAGTCAAATGAAAAGAGTAAAAGTAGAATGAGAAGCATGAAACAAGACCAGCAGTGAGCAACGTTTATATCGCTTTCCTGGATAAGAAGAATAAGTGTTGTGTAAAATCTACCTACCCCATATTTACTTACTTATTGCTTAAAATTAAAATAACTTAATTTGCAACCCAAAGAGAATTTGGGTAAAAGTTTGCTATTGAAATGGAAGAATGAATGGCTTGAGAAAGAACCCATTTTGGAAAAAATAAAAGGGGATAGTTTAAGAATTTTCCATTTCTGGGTATAAAAACATGCTAAAATCTTATAACTAAGACAGTGATCTTCTTCGCCCTCCCCCCACTAAAATAGAAACTTAAAGGAGCAGTGATAGTTTGAATGAGAAATGTCCCCGATAGGCTCCTGTAGTTGAACTCTGGGTTTCCAGATGGTGGCCCTGTTTGGGGAGGTTATGGAATCTTTAGGTGGTGCACCCTTGCTGGAGGAATTACATCACTGGGGAATAGGCTTTGCGTATTTATAGCCATGAAACCACTTCTAGCTTGCTCTCTGCATGCCTATGTGTGGTTGAGATGTGACCAGTCAGCTTCCTGCTCTGGCTGCCATACCTGCCTGTTGCCATTCTGTTCCTGTCTTTGTGGGTTCTATCTTTCTGGAGCTGTAAGCCAAAATAAGCTTTCCTTCCTCTGGTCTGTCTGGTCATGGTATTTTATCACAGCAACATCAAAGTAACTAATACAGTAGGAACTAAATTAATTTGAGCACAGTATATGAAATTAACACATAAATACAGACATTTTATGTTGTCTACTCAATGACCAGAACAACAGTAATTTGTTAAAGTTTGGAAAATGTAAATTTTAATGTAATACACAAGTATTGAATAAAGATTGATGAAAGAATAAAAATGACAAGATATAATTGGTTCGATGAAGATGTTAAAAGAAGAATCCATGGCAGAACAGTGACAGATTGCATTATATTAAAGCTTCCTTATATGTAAATTAACACGAGACACAAACAGCATCATCCTAACAATGACTTTGTTTTACTTATTTTGAGAGTAGAATTAATGAATCTAACATTCCAAAAATATGATTGTTTAAAGGCCTAGTGAGGCAGAAGCCTATGAGTAAGTTGGTTTTCTACCCTTTGCAATAAATATTACCATGGTCACTGTCAAAGGATAGATATGTTGTCATAAAATATCATACATAGGTATGTATGTATATATGTATGTGTGTGTGGTGTGTGTCTATGTATGTGTGTGTGGTGTGTCTCTGTGTATGTGTGTGTATGTCTGTGCAGTGTGTGTGTATGTGTGTATGTGTGTGTGTGTGTGTGATCAGCTACAAGTAACAACAGCATTAGCATTACAAGCAACATCCTGGAAAAGCAGCAATTTTTCATCAAAAAGACCAATTAAATTTGAGCTAGAGCATTCACAAGAGTGGGGGATTTTAAGTAGGATTTTTCTTTTAATAATTCTTGCATGTCAGGGCATATTTTAGAAGTTATTTGTAACATCTTTGAATAATTAAAGTTTTGTACAAGTTTTGAACATGTATCATCAGTAGTAAAAAAAAAAAATGAAATCATTCCAGTTTTTTAAATGCGATAATTAATAGCAGTGGAGAGGTACAGTGATAAGATGTGAAGAAAAACGGTTCCTGTCTTTATTGTAAAGTACGGTGCAACAAGGATGGCTGGTTATTTCAGCTCCATCCAGAGCAGCGCATCCTTTTCAAATGCTGGGGTCCCGAAGCAAATGTGAAACGGAAATTTATCATCATCAATATACACTGAAGATTTCTAAAGGTTTTAGGGCTGAGGAGGCAAAAGTACTTGTTACACCAGCCTGACAATCTCTTGAAGCCACAGTGGGAAGACAGAATGTGTCTGACCTCCATGCACATGCATACCTGTGGGCATCTAAAAGGATGAATATAAAAGCTTTAGTTTATGTGAAATATAACAAGTAACGGCAGCCTATACTATTACAACCAATTGGCCCTATTAGTAAAAAAAGGAACACTTTTTTTTTTCCTTGAGGTTCTCTTAGCATAATTACGGAATTTTGGCGAGAGTAACCAATTGGCCATGGCCTTTCTAGCCTTTCTGGTTGGATCCATGTCTTTGAGCAAAGCATTGGTGCTTGACCACAATTTGTCTCCTTGAGAACATGGAGGCTGATCCATGCCATTCTGCCATCACTCTCTCAGCTGAAAGGACTTCTCATTTTTTTCATCCGTTGCAAGCTTACATTATGCTGTACTGTATATTCAGCCATCTTTTCCCACCTTTCTTCATTGTCCCTTAGTTGAATTTGATAGTTCAATTATCAGAAAATATCAACAATAGAGTGTTTCCTTTTTGTCTGACATAGCTTGTTATCAAGAAGGTTTTGGCCTTAGGGTTTGGCCAGCAACCATCTTATGTGTCCTTCCAACAAGAGTTTAGGTACTCTGAAAGTTACACCCCTGGTAGACATATCCTTCTGGCTCAGAAGGCATATTCA